GTGATTGCAAAAGGGAGATATTGGAGAGATACTTGATCCCATCGTTATTATCCCCATCGAAAACGAAGCGACGTTAAAACGTTTCTTTTCTTTTTCTTTCCAGCCTCATCGACCTGCGTTCAAACCCCAATTGGATGGTTCCGCATTCCCGCCACGCTTCGACCTGCAGCCCGATGGTGAACTGTAAAAATCTCTATCTGCGACCAAATATTGTATTTTTGTTAGAAAACACATTATCGCAACAGCTTAACGAACGAAGGAATTAATCGCAATCGGCGAACTTTCATCGTGTCTCATCTCATTCGAATAACTCATCCCATTATCTTCATACCTACGCATACCTTGTTGTTCGCGTTGTTCGGTAGAATACGGAAAGAATTTCGTCGCGATGCCCACGCTTGGTCACCTTGCCAGTTTCGAGAAATAAAATAAAGAAAAAAGAAAGAAAAAAAACGGTGTATGAAAAATATTTTTGCTCGTTTTAAACTCGTTTTTAGCGTATATTTATTTATATACGATGTATATGCAAGCAAATACTATTATTAAAAAGATCGAAAAGAAAAAAAAATGGGTGGTGATATAAGTGGAGGAGGAGGAGAAATGACTTCACCACTCGCGCTGACGGTCGAGGGAAGAGAGAATGAAAGAAAAGAGTGAGAGTGGGAGAGCAAGAGAAAGAGAGAGAGGAAAGATACGAGCGGCCGAAATGCAACGCGATTGATCGAAAGTCGAAAAACGTTAACACGTTAATACGTGGCATACTGGCATACGCGCGTATCAAGCGGACGAATCGATAAATGGAAATACCCGTTAAAAAAAAAACGGAACGCGAGATTATTAGAAAAAAAAAAAGAAAAAAAAGATGATAAAAAAATTTAACGCTAGTCACGGATTTGAACGGCAGCGCGCAATTATTATTATTATTATACGTGTCATCGAAATGATAATCCTATCCTATAAACTTAATTGTAATTTATAAAGAGAGCCGAAGTATGTATTTATTAATAAATAAATAAGCAATAAATAAAATTAAGAACGAAAAGAAGCAAAATTCGTTTGATTTGTTTGATGATAAAAAAAAAAAAATCCGATTCTTACTTATTATATTATATACTTCTTAACTCGTGTTACATATTCATACGATACATTTTATTTCGAAATACTCTTCGTTCCTTCTATCTCAAATTCTTCTTCGGTTTCTTACGTGCCAATTGTTTAAATTGTCCTTTGACGAGTTCCCATTGAGTGAATTTTTCGACACTGATCCCGAATTCCTTGCAAGTTTGTTCAAAAGCGTTCACGCAAAGTGACAAGTAAGAATGATCGACCGTTGGTAAAAGGTGATGAAGACCGTGTAAACCGAAATTCGTCAATACCAAAAAATCGGAATCGTCGATCACCTTTCGTTCCCTCACAGCGTCCAATTCCAGCACACCCCAGTCGTAATCGTCTCTAAAAAAAAAAGAAGGAAAAACGATCTTTTGATTTTTTGAGACAGGATAAACATAAGATTGATTCAAAATCTTAAAAAAAAAAACTCGTTAAAACGATTCTTTTCTTTTTAAAGAAAATAATATTCGAATTCTCAAAATGCAAAATATTTCGATATAAACAAACCTGTATATGTCACCATCGTGAAAGATATCGGGATGATGATGAGCTGCGTTGAAACCGATTATGGAGAACATAAAACTAGCCGATAGTAAGATCAATAACCACAGTTTCACAGCCGTGAAGAAATTTGGTGCGAAGAATGACATTAAAACCGGTAGGAAAAAAGGTATTGCGTCTCTCAATTCGAACGTTTTATATTCGAAAAACACTGAATAATATCTGAAACGAATAAATACGATTATTTTTGATTTGTCATGATATGCTATATAATATACATATATACATAATATACATAATAAAATAAAAAAACCTTTTGATCGCTTGTTCGTAAAACATCAAAGCCCAAACGATAGGACTTATGAGTTGACTCACGAAAACCATCGGTAAAGATTTTTTCGGATCTGGTAACCAATGAATGAAAGGCTCGAACGCGTATATCTCAAAGTCCCAAAGAGTATTGGGATACATGTGATGACTCATCGCGTGCGTTATTCGCCAATCCTTCGATGACATCGTACTCAAGTCGAAATAATACATTCGAAAGTTATCCTTCATGTGAAGATAATTGTGGGCGCTTATAGTGGTCCACGTGAGAAAAATCCCTGAAAATATAAATCTTTATCGATTAACGGTGTTACTGAGCTTTTGTCGGAGTAAAAGTAAGTCGAAGAAATATTTTTACCAACCGGTAAACAGGATCATTAGATAAGATTGGGTGTACGCTGCCAAGATGCTAAATATTAAAGAAAAGACGAAAAGAAAATCTGCGATTAAATTCGTTTTCGTGGACGGCCGATGGAAATCCACGTCCTTCAAAGCTTCCAACGCTCGTCTTTTGAACGTAGAAAAGAAACCATTTGGCTCGAACGTTAACGGCAGTTTTCGTGGTGCGACAGCCTCCCTTATCAAATATTTTGGAAGAAGTTTTGCGGCTTTATCGGTCAAATGATGCGTCTGAAAAAAGCACGAATAATCTTTATAACAATCGAGTTCAATTTTCGATTAGATTTCGAATTATTCTCGAACGAATTCAGAAGATTGTCGTTTAAATCTCGATCTATTTGTTCTTTCTAAACGAATCATCGTTTACACGGAGCGACTAGAGAAACGATCAGAAAAATGGAGAAAATTTCTTTCATATCGATAATTCGATCCTTAATTCGATGATTAGTAACAAATAATATAATTATACCTGGAAAAGTTCGGTAATATCGGTACCCTTGGTAAGGCGGATCCATTCAGCGCCTCCTGGATGAAATTTTGCGAACCCTTCCAAATCGTATAAGTTATTTCCAATCCTCCATAAATCTTCCGCGCCATCTACTTGCCTTCTTCCTTCGAGATAAGCGTAGCCTGTTTTAACTTTAGCCTCCCTTCCGGGAAAATTTTCGAAACCTGGTATCGAGCTTTCACTTTTCCCCATGGTATCGTTTTTCTCACCTTTCTAAAAAAAAAACACGTGATTCTGAAATTATTTACTATTTATACAAAAAAAAATTTTATTTCATTCCACCAATGAAAATGGTATGCACACGTATAAAAAAGATTTAAAATTACTTACGTACAAATTATTATTTAACGAATTCATCTTTCGTCGACAAATAGTTTGGAAAGTAATGAGAAAATAAATTGTATTCGATTAAATTGAATTTATATGAACATGCTTTTGATCGAAAATTATGGAACAATAAAATTATGGAAATATTTGGAATAGTACTAGCGATAGTGCAGCGAAGATATATGTGCCAATATTGTTGTTATTTCAAATTATCTTCAATAAAAATGAACGTATCGTTAAAAAAACTTTAATTTTTTTCCATATCGGATAAAATAAACGTCAATTAATCCCGTAAATTAAAATTCTATTTAGTCGATTTCCAAATATATTTTGAATTTTTTTTCGATAAATCACACTTTTTCGTTTTCTTTATTTTTTTTATTATATTTTTATTATATTATATTTTTTTTATTATATGATTTACGTTACGTAGCGATCGTGTTATTTGAAAAATTGTTAATTCAAAATATTTACAATCTCTTACTAACATTATATTTTTTATAAAAAAAATATTTTATGCAATCTCTGAACAAAATTAATGGAAAAAACATAAATAAAATAATCGTTAATTCACGCATTGAATAATGTTTTAAAAAATGAATATTTAATTGTATTTAATTTTGTAATTTATAATAATATGTTATTGTTTTCATAAATTAAAATTCGTTATCATACCAAAATAGGATTAATTGTGCCTAGATGGAAATTGTTCCTCCTATGGAAATATCTAGAAGAAAAGATACTCGTAATTGATGTTGGTATATATATATTCCCAATGTTCGATATTGGAACAATCGATATTGAAATCTTCGATAACGATAGTTGTTAATAGAAATTTATTCGATCGCGTGAAAAATATAAATAGGTATGCAAAAATTATTTTCTACTAACATTGATTAAAACTGAAACTCGTATTCCATATCGTTTTACGTACTGCTTTTAATGAAACTTTGAAAAGTAAACTTCTTCTTTCTTATATATATATCTTATACATATATACGCATGTAAAACAAACATTTACTGGTCAGAATCTAAATGAACTAGCACTTTGACCTTAAAATATGATACCGAGATGATAAATTAATAACACGTTATTGTAAAACTGTTTTTCTTTATCGAGAAAAATTACATGCAAATTTTAAATTGATTTATTATTTTACCGAATTAAGTTTTTTTCCAATGTTTTTTATTGTTTTAAAATTTATATTATATAATTATCTCTTATCTTTTAGATATAAAATATTCCAAGGCAAATTTTTACACAAATAATTCTATAAGATAAGTATTAGATAATGAAACAAATATTTCTAATATGCGATAAAAAATTATTCGGTCTTTTAATATATCCCAGATTTTTGCCATTTTATTTATATTTAATCCACAGTTAATACAACACTGTGTTTTCATGTTTTTGATATAAATAATATAATATAATTTCCCAATCATTTTTTTCGTTTTGTACTTGTTTACGAAAGTAATCTTATCTAATAATCAATCGATAAAGTAAATATTTAATTGATCGATGTTTAGTGAAAAATCAGGATTATCGACATCGAAAAATACGACAATTTTTCTAGTAGTAAATAAAGTTAAAAAAAATAGAAAATTTTTTACAAAATTCATTTCTATCCAAATTAAATTGTATATAAATTGTAAAAATAAAGTATAAGTAAGTATAGTATGATTCAATTATCATGAATCGAAAAAAAGAACTAGATTCCAAAATATAAAATATAACTTGCGGATATTTATTAATTTTTCAAATCTTTGCCTATGCTATATGTATATTGAATTCTGTGTATACATGTGTCAGTGGTGTGATCATCTAGTTTCTATAAATACATCGAATAACAGTATGACGCAAAATGTGTGAATTAATATTAGTATTTGGAGTTACTTGTTAGTTATTCAAATAATAATACACATAGTTATATCATAATTTTGAAATATTTTGAATATCAATTATCATTATCAAATATTTTGAATATCGCTGTATATAAAAATAATCAATAAATGTCAATTGCATACTAAACAGTATTCGATGTGTAAAAAATTTTTAACAATATCTCAAAAATTAATAAATACTCGTTTTATTTATAATTAAAATTTTATATTGAGATCTTATTTCCTTAAAATTTCGATTCAATATAGATTACCATAAAGTTTTTCAATTGAAGTTTTTTAATTTATGTATATAGATCAAGTGCGATATTATTTCTTTTATACGAGAATAAATATCGAAAAAGAAAATTAAGATATGAATTGAAAAAGAATGAACAAATTAAAGATAGCTGTTATTGAGAAATAATGCAATTATAACATAAACAAAGAAAAAAATAATGGAAAAAAAACAATTCTAGGGAAAAATTATGAAATCATATTATTAGGGATAAAGAAGAGTAGAGATATGGGAAGAATTAACCATCAGTTCCATCTCTCGATCGATTATCAAAGACATAAACATAGGTAGAATAAGAATCGAGGATCAGCGCTATCTCTCGAATTCTTTTAGAAATCTTTTTGGAAGTTAAAAAAGCGCTAATTTCGTATTTTTTACTCTATCTTCTTTTATTATTTTTTCAATAAAATTCCTCGATATAATATTAGAATATATTAACTTATTTGTCTTCTTTGCTGATTAAAATTTTAAAGTCTCTTTGATTCAATTTTTACACAATGCAAGTATATGTACATGACATTTTTTATTAAAGTCCAATATATTATATACATATATTTATCTAAATCAGATATTACAATTATTTCAACATCTGAATCATGTTATATGTAACTAATAATCAGTCGTCTATTCGTTCAAGTTTCTTTTCACAATCGTCAAAAAATATATACTATTGAAAAAAAATTCAATAGTTTTTTTTTTGCAATCCGATATAATTTTATAAATCTTTTCAAGATTGGAAAGAAACTCGATTATGCGCGTCATTGACAAAAATAACATCTCGATTTTCAAACTTTTCTTATTCGCGTGAAAGCATATTCACAATGTTCGAGACATATTCTCGGCGTTTCAAGAAATTTAGAAATGCTTGAACCCGATACTTGGTTCGAAAATTTCAGGATTCTTTGGAATTTCGAAGAATCGAACAGTTTTGAGACTTTTTCGAAATTTTCGAATCACGAGACACACTATATTTTTTCACTAAGAAATTGTTACATTATTACTAAGATCTTGTTAATCCTTTCAACACGGCATTGTATTTCTTATACAAATGAATAATATTTTTTTATGATTATTACAATAAAATTTTAATAAAAATTTTCTATAAATTTTTTCTTTTTTTAGTCACGTATATCCCAATAATGTTTTATAGATTATTTTTATTCCTATTATTGGATGAAGTTACTCTTTTCCATTCCAATTATATTTTAGGAACAATAGAAGAATATATATTTGTACCAAACGATTTCAATCAATATATATATATAAATATATATATATATATATACACATAATATATATTCATCGCGTTGATATAAATTACTTTTGACAATAAATTACTTTTGCTTTATTTTCAATGCTATTTATGTTCATTAGGATAACTATTATATTTATATATTACTTTACCGACTGTACAAACTATTACGTATAATCTAATAAGATCATAAACAATAGAAATAGAATATTTACATTTTACGGAAAATTTCTCGTAAAATTAAACTTGGAAATAATCTTGAAAAATATATGGAATATAAATACATTCAGTCGTGATTGAAAGGATTTAAATTAAGTAAAACTTTTCAAATAGACGTTCTCGTGAGAAGAACAATTAAGGCAATTGCAAATACGAGAATCGATCGAGTTTCGTTCGTGCAACTAGAATTTTCAAACATTTCCGAAGGAACGGTAGTCGTCGGACTATTTTCCGATGGATTCGTGGAGCAAACAGTATCTCTTATAGCTTCTTTGACAGATCCCATAAGAATTCTAAAATTATAATCTTCGGGATCCAAACGTGCATACATGAAGGTAGGCAAACGATCCGAGAGTACCCAAATATTCCCATTTTGATCGATCTGAAATCAAGAAGAAATGTTATTAAAAATATATATATTAGGGAAGAAAATAAATAATAAAAGCGATAGATATTTGACATTATTAAAACTAATTATTAAAACTAACGATAGGGAGATTTTTTAGTAACTTTATTTGTGCCAATATACTAGATTAAAATTATCTCTGGTAAAAATTTAATACAGTTTTTACTTCATTCGTCATTTTTGCGATTTAAAGTATTTTTTAAATCTACTATTAACTCTTGGATAACGAGTTTTAAACGAGTTTTTGTAAACATGATTTATTATCGCGTGATGCAAACATTGCTCGATCGATCTAGGACTTTTTTTATCGGGATCCTGTTGATCAACTATATATATATATATACGATCAAGGTTTAAAGAGTGAACGAACATATTTTATTACCTTTAAATCGTTAGGAAAAACCATCGTGATGCCGTTTTGATAAATAAGACCTTGTTGCTGAAGCGTGAACGTGTTTCGAGGTTTCCAACACGCGATAGCGTTTAAATTGGTTAACGCGTAGAAAAGAACTCCGGTGTTCGAGTCCAAAAAGCTAACGCTACTCTGACCATTGTGTCCCCGAGACCCGAGAGTTCGAAATTCTTTGAAGTTGTCTGAAAGCCAAAAACGTGAAATGGATCACGATATACCGGATACGATATTAAAATAAATAGATTTACCTGGAGAATTGGCGCGTTCAGGATCTCTCAATATCTTGGTACTAACCGAATATTCCATGGTGCTGGAAAGTGGGTGGAAATACATCACGCTGTATCCATCGTTAGATGGCGCGATGCTCATACCGAACAAACCGTCGGTCCATTGGAACGAAATTCCCGACACGTTGAATTCCTCGCTCTTAAAAATTGAAAAAGAGAATAGAAGAATAGAAGAAGATAGGGAAACGAGATCGTAAAGATAAAAAGTGGAATAAAGATGATAAGAAACGATGCTAACTTGCGGATCGGGTTGAAAGAAGCGATGCTTGACGAGCCATGATTTTCTCGACTTCCACGAGTAGACCACCAGTCCGGGACCACCCAGATCGCCCAGATAAGCGAAGGTATCCTCGCAGGAGTAATCTTCGAGCGCGATATTCGCGAAAAGAGAATCGTGCGTTTTTTGATCCTCGGGAATAACGAATTTTCGTAATAATCGATCGTTTTTTAAATCGTAGACGAGCAACGCGGGCGGCGCCTCTTGTTCCGGATTTTGCAAAATATCTGTAAATCCTGTATCGAGCACCCACAATCTTTCACATCGATCCACTCGGATTCGAAACGGTGAAATGATCTCCGGCACGCTTCCACCTTCGTATTGATGCGCCTCGAAAGAAGGATAAGGTATCAAAGTAGGAGATTCCCGTGTATCTGAAAGGTATTCGTTATTTTTATCTCTCTCTCTCTCTCTCTCTCTCTCTCT